CGATAGCTGGCTTTTGTAACACTTCCGCGGTTCCAACGCATGACAGGACAGAAGCAGAAAAAATAGAAATAGAATCTTTCCTCTCCTCAAGGCTTGACGAGATGAAGATCAACTAGGTACTTTGCAAGGCTCTCGCGTGCTTTCTGAGTTCGTCGCGTCGCGTACTCCGTATTATGCCTAGGTACGGAGCAAGTCATGGATCCTCAGGACTTTGACAGGACCAGGTAATCTCTCGCTGATAGTGCTTACCAGGCCGAATGTCTTGCAGGGCCAACGCCTTTTTTCTTGGCTGGCCGCCACGAGATATCTCAGGTCTCCATCGGGAGGGACTTCGGATTAAGCCTCCAGTTTGATTGCTTATCGAGGGGGGTGTTTGCATATTGTGGAGGCGAAGGATGTTGTTTTTTTCATTTACAAATTACAGGAGTAGGGTTTGGGAATGTGGCTCTCGTGCTCGAAGTTGTCAGGGGGAGACCGGACAAAACAAATCAACTGGACATGAACATTGGGAGGAAATATGTTTGAAATCGAGGCCGAGGACAACAATGCATACGTACGGAGTACCCACGGAGGAGAGGGACCAAGGTACTTTCTGTAGGGCGCATTCTCGGTGTGTCCAGCAGGCCACCCAGGGTTGGTTTGCACTATGGGCCTACAAATGTCTGGCACCCCCTGACCAATACATCTTACTAGACATTTTACGGAGTACGCGGTGGAGAACAGACGATTCGACAAGGTTGAAACACTGGCTTTAGGACGATTGGAAGGCTTCGCTCGGTACTCAGACCTCGTGGGAGCTATGCACAGTATTACAATACGATCCTTGTTCGCGTAGCCTAACGTAAAGACTTTTGTACGGAGTACAGTAGTGAGCAAGTTCGGGGGGAGGGGTGGGAAGTCCGCATTATTAGCAGCAGATCCGAGTGATTGGAAATGCAAAGAGTGAGAGCTCCAGGTGTGTCCTAGGCAATGAATATACAGTATGCCCCGTATGTGTCTCAAGTATGCATGGTCATTTCTTCTCCTCTGCAACCGGTCTGTGAACCTCTTATTTGTTGTGTATTGAAATAGCCGCCCACCATGCAGTACCGTTATGCAAACGAATTTCCTTAGTGGAAGAAAGGAATGCGTTGGTGATGATGAGATGAGTCCTTCGCCTCCGTGCTCTGCATGGTGAAAGCGATCGGCTCTGTCACTTCAGATCACGGCTGCCACTCATCTTGACTCGCCTAACAGGGATGGTTAGTGGCTTATTGGGGCGGGCGGCTGTTTTGGATCCCAAGCCCTGAAGAGCCCGAAGAGGGGAGCAGAAGCACCCGGCCTAACCTAACAAACTGCTCCAAACTAACGGGTGGCCCCTACCCCGTCCTTCGTCCCTCAGCCTATTGTGCTCCCGTATAGGCACTAGACCTCCCTAAGCTCGTGCCCTCCATGGCCAATTAGACAGACAGTCGGTCCCCTCCATTCGCTTTGTTGGTCGAATCATGCCCATCCCCTTGGTTTTTGTTCTCTGGTGACTGACTAAGATCGAGTCTTCTCTCTTTTTCCCTTGGACTGACTTCTTTTTGCCCTCACCTTGCACATTCATCTTCCTCCCACCACCACCACCTCTTTTTCGTCGGTCTTGTTTCTTCTTCCACCCTTCCAAGTCGATACTCGACATCGACGACATCCCCTTTTTCCATCCACCCTCCGTCTCTCTCGCGTCTCGTGCCTTTCCTTACCACCTAGTCCGATTCTGCAGGTTCGCCCTAATCGCAATTTCGACCACGATCCAGATCCAGAGCCCCCCCGAGAGCTTGACAGCTGCTGTCCCTGGTCGGCGGATTCTGCCTCCTCACTGCAATTCGATACCCATATTCAAAAAAGCTCACCTCGATACTTACATACGTCCTAATCACCATCGTCTTTCTTTTTCCCAGCTGAAAAGGAACTTATTCGATCATTGCCGAGCAATATCCTACTACAACCCACCGTTCATTGTCGTACATTTCGTATATTATTCGCCGCGTTAACTAAAGACTGCCCTGTACATTTTCACACATCATTTGCCTCTGCGGCCCTCTTGTCAGCACATCACACAAACTCACACAATCTCTCTGCGCCTTTGACTGCTACAGCTGGCTGAATTTCTGGTACGTCTCTCTTGTCGGCATCACGCGGGATCGTATTGTATTGTTGTTCTGACCATTATCCTCAGGCAGGCATTTCATCGCTATCCTCAACTTTCTCACGTCACTAGATTCCTCGCCGCCTTTTTACTTTCTCGGCCACGATACGAAACCTGACCTCACACGAATCTCAGTAATCTTCTAATCCTCGAAACAATCATCTCACTCATACCTTCATTGCAATTCACTTCTACGCGTCTCGACGCCACGGATATTACGGCTACTTTCTTGACAGATCCCTCGCTGGATCTCGCCTATCCGCATTACACACTTTCAGCATTTCATCCTGGTTCTTCAGCTCCCACATTTTTCTTGCCTTCAGTCATAGAAAACAATGAGCATCGACGCTGGCGGTCTTGCTCAAATGACTTACCAGTCTCCTTTCAACAACTCCATCGGCGTTTCCGGCCCCGGCTTTGCGTCGCGTGGAAAAGGCTCTCACATCAAACGTCTCAGTGTTGCCCCTCCCCCAAAGATTTCGACCATCGATGAGACTCAACAGGCCAACGTCGGCGCGACACCACGAACTAGCCGTAGTCACTTGCTAGCCGGTCTTCGTACTGCCCCGAAATCTGCCACCGTGCCTCCGGCTAGCAATGCCATGGGTCTCGAAGGCAGCAAGTACGCTTCGAATTCGCAATACGGAAACCACATTCCGCAGACTGCAACTGGCACGTACTTTCCAAACAAGAGGGCTTCGTACCATGGCGGCAGCTACCAGCAGAATTATTCCCTGCCTGAACATGTCCTGGCTCCTCCATCGCTCGACTTTGTAGACCCAACAGACCCAATGGATCAAAATCTTTATGACGAATTGGTAGCGACCAACAATTACCTGGCTCAGCAGCAACGAGCTCTGCAGCAACAACTTCTCAGCGTTACTGCGGCCGCTCAGCAACTGGGAGGACTGAACCTCAATTCTGCCATGATGACCAACCCTGGCCAACAATTCCAGTCACCCATCAATTCTCCTATGAGCATGTACAGTCAGCAATTCCAACAAGGCCTGCAACCTGTTGTTCAGCCGGTGCCTGGAAGTCCTGGCGTGTTTGCTGTCTACAATCCCATGACGGGTCAGTCAAACTTCGTGGTTGACCCCTCCCTCCAACAACAGCAAGACACCTTGTCTTCCCGTCGAAACAATTCTGTCTCACCCCCTCCTGCCAACGCTGGCTACCAACGTCAATTCGCCGAGCCTCATCCCCTGTCCGACTCACGTTCGCGTACTCCTCCCAAGTCCACACCGTCTCCGCAGATGGACGTCGAACCACTCCCACCGCCATCTGCCAATGCTTTCCGACGAGGACACAGAAAGAACGCGTCATCTGTGAATATCAAGACGACGGGCGAGTGGACAAAAGGAGCGGCGGGGCTGAGATCAGCTGGTATGCCTCAGACTCCCATGACTGGCACCTTTGGTCCTGGACAAGGACGTGCTGGAGAGCACCCAGTCAGACAACCAAAGAACCCACCTCATCTTCAAGAGTTGCAAGACAAGCCAACATCAAAGCACGAAGGAAGCAAGAATTTCGCTACACGTCAACGTCGTCGAGCTGTTCATGACTTGGTTCGTGCAGGTCGCGAGCGTCGAAGCGATGGTCGTCAGTCGGGTTCTGGAGCCGGCACGCCTGGAAGCGAAAATGAATTCAACTTTTCTGTCTCGTCCGACAACGATTCCGTTCTCGCTGGCAGCACTAGTCTTTCAAGCAAACCAAGCATGGGTAGTCTTCGTGCTGCTGCCAGTGGTGTTATTGGTGGCGAGAGAAAGGAGATATCCCGAGAACGATCTTCAGTTGACAGCATTGGAGCCATCAGTGCTAAGAGCCTGAGCAGTGATGAAGGTAACCTCATTGGAGGGTCTATGGTTGAAGTTGAGCAACCTGCTAGACGTAACACTCCATTGTTGGTCCTTAGCAACGCCGAAAAACGCAAGAGCGTGATCATGTGAAGGACGATATTCAGGGCAGCGCCCACCTATTCCACAACTCACCGAGTACTCTTGGAAGACTCAGCCACTCTTTTATCATCACGACTTGATGACTGCAGCCCAGATTAAATTGGCACGACATTACTGTTTTTTCTACACTCGATACTTCCTATGAAAAAAGAGAAAACCCCAGGCACCCCTGATGGAGGAGTACTAGTACTGTCTTTAATGGGACCTTGATTATCATTGCTTTCTCTTTCTTTCTTCTCTTCAGCCAGGTTTTGTTTGCATCTCGAATTCCCGGGGAAAGAACAAGTAATTGTGTATGCAAGTATGCAAGTATGCATGACTCTCCTGCAGAGATGCGAGAGGATTCTTTCTGTACCCATCAGACCTGGCTTATCTTTGCTAGCAACAAACTTGGGGTGGTTGGCATGATGAAGCGGATGAAGTTTGGGGGGAGAGAGTCCTTTGTTAGTATTGTTGGATTGTCACACCTCGATTTTAAGGAAATTGAGATGGAGGTCCTGGAATGGAGCGAAGGATTAGGGCTGTGAATGTAGTTGACCTTGAAACCATTGAACCTAGTTGATAGCAATTATTATTTTTATTATCATTTTTTTTTTTGCGCTTCCTACGTTTGATCACCTCTCTACAACCCTTTAAGCTGTAGGAAAGGCTTCCGGGGGGTTCTGAGGGCGAGCATAAACATTACTTTATTTGGAAACGTCTGGCTCGAGACAGAAGAGGAACGATTGAGCTACCGTCATGCGTAGGTAAAGCAGGCAGCTAGAGAATGTCCAGACGTGCCTTTTGGTCTCTCGCGAGACGTCATCTAGTCACCGTGCTCGATAATTTTATAACTTACCATCTTCAAATTTCAAGGTAAAATGACCGTCGGGGGCCCGATAGCTCAGTGGTAGAGCGAGAGATTGCAGCTTTGACATGGTAGCAACTATATCTCTAGGTCACGTGTTCGATCCACGTTCTGGCCTTTCTGTTTCCTTTTTCTTTTGCTCAAAAGAGAAGATTATTTTTATTGTCATTTACTTTTGCTGTCTTTTTCTGAAATGTTTGCTGGCGTTGTCGTTGAAAATGTATATATATATATATATATACACACAAACACCGAGTACGGTTGTCAACAAAAAGACCTAAAAAAAAAAGGGAAGTTGTTCTTAGAAGCCACGGAACGAAAATGTTGTCTTGAATAACCGGGACTTGTTCGTCAAGTTTTTCAAAACGTGGATTTTGTTCCCAACAGGGGTTCTATTTTCTTGGGGGGATTTTTTTTTTCTTTGGCTTTGTGTCGACACCATCGACGGACATTTTGGTGCTTTGCAGTAACTTTTTGACAAACTCTTCAGACGGGTTTGTCGTTGTTTGTCATGATTTCTACCAGTCTCGTCTTTGCGGTTTCTAGATCCCATGGACCGTCGAACCACGGGGAGTCATGTCCACCTGCATTGTTTTCGACTGTCACTGTCGATGACTTCTTGAGGTGTTTTGTCGTCGAGGGTGTGGACTTGTTGATGACCAACAATCTACCTTGATCGTCAAAATACACTCCCTCTTTCGCGAGTAGGTCGAGTTTTTTGGTCTGATTGATTGTACTTGGTGCTTTTTGCCCTTTTGATAAATTTTTGACCGCGTCAGTGCATGCTCTCGGATTGCAGCAAAGGTATCGACGGGCGGTACTGATACTCCTCGGTAGTGTTTACTTACAATCACCCATGAATCCACCTACGTGACCGTCACTCGCGATGACCCTGTGACATGGGACCTCTGGTGCAAAAGGGTTGTTCCTCAAAGCACCACCCACGGCGCGAGGTGAAGTCGATAATGATTTTGCCAGTGCACCATATGAACAAACTTTGCCTCGTGGGATGGCCAGGAGGGAAGTGTAGACTCTCTACGTTTTGTGCTTTAGTATATGGAGTGTATGGAGTAGCCGGAGACTCGTAAAGAGGTAAAAGAACGTCTGGGGGAACATTTGGAAAGACTGACCTCTTGAAACTCAGTAATGGCCATGGTATTTTGTCCGTGACTTGTGGTTTTGGTTTTAATGATTTGAAAACCGTTCAGGGTTCCGATCGTACTCCAAGGTTGAGTACTGTAAAAGAAGTGGTAGTTGAGAGAGAGGAAAGACTCGGATTTGGAAGAAGCGAGGTCGTTGGGCCGTGTGGTGATGGTGGTGGTGGTGGTGGTAGTACTGAGAGTGACTGAATGGAAAAGGTTTGAGATGATGAGATTGACGTATATTGATATGGAGTATTGTCGACCAGGGGATCGTGTTCAAGTGACAAGACGGTATAGTATGGGATGTTTTCGTATAGTCTCGATATCTTTGACACATGCCCTACCTTATATGTTCTTTCAAGACTCTCGTTCTTGTGTATATTTCACCCTTTGGACTCATTGCCAGGGCGAACTTCCGTGGCGAAATTAAAAGGGAGAGAGATGTCAAAGTGACGAATGATGGTGTTAGCTGGACAAAGTTAAAGCATGGCTATAGTATGAGTCAGAAACACAATAGCTCCAAGGCATCCATATGTACCCTCAGTAGCTCACATGTCGATGGACATTGATGGCAAACATTGATCTTTCAATGATGTAGTTGGTTTGATTAGTCGTGATTGGTCAATTTGACAGCAACATACCTACAACTAATTTCAGGGGGGGGTACGAGGACCAGGCAGTCCATCATCCTCCCGTAAACCACATTTCGAGACCTTTTGACGAGGCAGATCATGTCTTGACGATAGCAAGACAATCAAATCTATTCGAGTCTATGGGACTGACACTTTACTAAAAGACGACTTCCACTGTAACGGAATAAATAGTTTGAATTTCGGATTCCACAGACTCCTTGCCAGACATGCATCCCTCCGATTTTCAAACTCCAAACGACCATCCAACAAACCAATTGTCTTTTCTTCTCTCCTTCTCCAATCCAACATCACTGAGACTCGGCCAACTCAAACAAGGCGATTGTCTCACAGAAATTCGCCCTGTTCACACTATACGGCACGACGTCGGTACCTTCGTAACTGATCATGAATTGACTCCCTTTCGTGCTCAAAGCCCAAAGGTAGACGTCGGTGGAATTGTGGATGTCGACCATTCGTTCTTGACAGCTCTCGGTGCCCAGGCAGGCCTGCGTGTTCCAGTTCTCGAAGAAATTGTACAGCCCACCGCCGTACATGAAGATGGAACTGGAATTCAGGATCCGAAGACCCCAAGTCCGGGCGCAATTCGCCGCCGTGCAGTCCGAGTAGGTGGGATCGTTCCAGCTGCTCTGCGGTGTGAAGTAGGAGTGGAGGGCGTCAGGGTTGCCTTGGTAATACGCCGTCTCATGCTGAATGTGACCCATGAAGACGTTCTTCGTGTTGGAAAATTGGTAGTCGTACATGACGCTGTGCTCGGAAGCAGTGCCGTACAACCACACCGGCCCTTCTGCAGATTCAAAGAGGAAGCCACTGTTTGTTCAGGTCAGGACGAAGAAAAACACAACATCATCGGTGGGAACCCCCCCAAAAAACTTACGCCTTGTTAAAAATGTAAATCTGGTCACGAGTCCCCATGTCCAATTCGTGGTCGGCCACCCAACCCCAAGTGTTCTCAAAGTACCCATCGGCTTGAGGAGTGACGTGCAACAATAGAAAAGCACCGATACAGTTCGTCAATACAGAACTTCCAGAAGTGATGGGTTGAGAAGGAGTTTTGATGCATTGGTCCATTTGAAGATTCGTCCCGGCAGATCCTCCAATACGCCAGTGAGCATCCCACATGCCCGCCAGTGCTGGGCCTTGAGCCTTGATGTTCCATTCGACGATGATGGCACCGGGACATGGCCCCCGAGTCTCGAAAATGATATCCGAGATCTCTACCGTACCGACGTCGCCTGGGTTGCCGATCTTTAGCACCGGCTTGGGGTTCATCTGATCGTTCCAAAAAGACCCCGTGGCCATGATGATGGGAAGCATTTCACCCGTCATTTTAAGGGTTGGTGGGACGTTGATCGTGCTCGTCACAATATATGCGCCCTTGTCAAAGTAGACGACCTTGTTTGTGCTCGCAGCGAGATTGAACAGGTTCTGCATCGCGACGGTATCATCTTGAAAGTACATGAAATGTCAGCGAGAATCAAGTTGGCCTTCCTTGAGGGTTACTCAGACTGACCTGTTTGCCCGTCACCGGCAAGACCGTTGGCTTTTGCGCTCAAGAACGAACTCCATTGCAATGTTTCGTATTGTGGTTTCACCCGGTAAATATACTGACCATTACTGTCGACCAAATTGGAAGGGCGAGGAACAGGTGCGAGTTGTCTCTGAATGGTGGTCTCCTGGGCAGCATAAACAGTTTGACTGGAGTTGGCGTACGTGCAAGATGTGCCGTTGAAGCTTTGGCCGTTCAAGCCTTGTCCTGCAGTGGTCCAGGCATTTCCTTGAGCAAACAGGTCGATGAATTGTCCGCCGGGGAGAACGGTCCTTGCTTGAGTGCCTCCAGCGGCAGAAATTGCGTCGACACTGCCTGTAAAATCAACCCTCTCGAGGACCAACGTCCCCGCAGCCTGAGGAGAGCTATAGCCTGGGGCGTAGGGCGTTAGGATACCCTGTTGGGCCGATATGACGCTGTCAAGAACGACGACCGATCCAGTGGCCTGGTTGGAAAACCCTCCATTGGTCATGTCGATGCCGACGTTGGAATTGGTGATTGAGACCTGAGTGAAAAGCCAGAGCCAGTCGAAGTTCATCTTGATCGCGGTTGCACAACCGTTGAAAGTCAACTTCCTCGTGGTGAACTGCTGGTTACCAAGGTACATGCCCAGAGATCCTCCGTTTACGGTAACATCAGAGAAGAATCCGCCTGAGCCGTTTTCCATATAGACGCCTTGTTGCGCATTATTGACGACATCTTTGGCCACCATATTGATCACGATGTTCTGCAAACTCGTCGCCTGGGCGACTTGCCAATGGATGCCGGCGGCAGTAAGAGGAGCCGTGGTCATGTCAATGATGAAGTTGCGGATTTGACGCCAGAAGTTGTTTTGGTTGGCATACCACTCATTTCCGGCTCCATTGGGAATATAGATATCTGCATCCATCACAGCGAGACCAATAATTTGGGTATAGTTTGCTGCGACTTTGATCGTGGGAGGAGTCACCGCGTCGCCAACCATTTGTGTCATGTAAAACATGATCAATGGTTTGGAGACAACGTAGGTTCCAGGAGGGAAGTAGACCAAGGCTGGAGTCACCGTCGAAGACTGACAGAATGAGCCTACAGTCGAATTTCCTCCTCCGCAACGGCCATTGAGCTTTGATGTTATGGTGCTGAGACTTCCTGGAGCCGAAATGGCGTTGTTGATGGCGTCTGTGTCATCTTGGATGCCATCGCCTGGTAGCTTGTCAGAGACTTTGCGAATGACTGCTAACGTTGGGAACACTCACCTCGCGCCCCGTAGTCTTTGACATTGCGAAAGACGGGATAGTTTGGATTCGTCTGAAACGCGACCGTCCCGACATTTGGCTTATTTGCTAGCCAATACGTCGACGCCGCAGCGTTTGAACTGCCTAGAAGCAAGGCTGCATACAGCCCAAAGACACAAGCGTAAGAAGGCCACATTTCGGTCTGATTTTGCTGAAAAGATTTGAGGCTTCCTGCTCGATTAGTGAGAGTACAATCCACGGGGATATGATGGAAATGCATCCGCGCGTATCTGACACGAGTGCAAGGAGCATTTCGACAGATACTGGAATGTGACTTGGCAGGAATGTGGTTTCGATGGGAGGGAGTCTTTTAATATCCCTTCAAGTGGAAGAATGGCGATAAGTAAAAACACTTTGTCTCGTTTAGTCGTGACGCAAACACTGAATTCAACGTTCGGCAATCGAGAAAAAATCATTTCCACTGTCAACCATGAAACTCGTAAACCTACTCTTTGTCACAGTCGGTCTCTTTGCATTTAGCACACTGGCAGATGAGCAGGGCG